ATCCACCAGTTTATTTGTCAAATAAAAGTGTCAAATTAAAAGAAATACCGTCATCATTCAGCTTTACAGGGAGTGGATCTGGTGAATTGGTGTTGGTTTTTCAAGCTTTTTGTAAGTTTTGATGTATGTTCTTCCTCTCAGTATGACTGTGCCTCCATTGAGCACAAGGGCTGATTTAAACAAAACAGAAATATTGATATTATCGGACGTTTATGCTTTATTTAGTGTTAATGAAGTAAATAACAAAACAAAACAGCAATATTGTAAAGAAAACTGGTTAAACTGAGAAAAAAATGTTTAATTGTATTTTTACTCCACGTTATAGGTACATATAAATAGTTTCTAAAGTCAAACACTTTTGTGCTGCTTCACTTTTCCCATTAATTGTTTGAGGCAAACTTGACTCAGTAGACGTTCACAAGCAGTCGAGAAGACGGCCTGGTCTGTTTTAGCTTCCCGAGGAAGTGCAGCCTTTGTTGGGCTTCTTCACAAGGTGCGATGTGTTCAGCCACCAGCTCAGGTCAGACGCTATGTGGACACGCTCTGCTCCTGCAATCCACAATGGCCCCCTTGTTCTCGCTGGTGCTCAGGACGAGGATGCTGTCTAAGCAGCGTGTCAGGTGTTGGGTCTCCTCTCTATAGTGAGTCTCATCAATGTCTCGAAAATTCACAACTGTGTTAGTGAAATGAATGGCAGAACAAACGCGAGTGAAGACAGTGAATAGGACCGGGCTGAGCGCACAGCCCTGTGGCGTGCTCGTGTTCGGGACCAGTGTGGAAGATGTCCAGCTCCTCATTCGCACCACCCGAGGCCTGATGGAGAGGAAGTCTCTGATCCAGTGTCGCGGCGATGTCGACAGACTTGGGTTATGAAGCTTCAGAGCCGGTTTATCACCGTCAGCACCCTGACATAAGAGTTGTGATGTTCCAGGTGGGTCAGGACTTACATCCTGTGTTGAACTTTCCATCTGATGGCTGTCCAGACCAACATAGATGACGTCCCTGATGTGCTTCTGCACAATCCTCTCAAAGCACTTCATGGAGTCAGGGCCACAGGACTATAATCACTGAGGCAAGAGACAGCTGATGTTTTGGGTACAGAAGATTTAAGGCAGACAGGTTGAAGATGTCCAGAAAAACCCAGTTAGTCAGGGCGCGCCTTCAGAGTCCTGCCTGACAGCTAACATGAGAGTAAGTTTAAATGTTGTGTTAATAAAAAACATCCCGGTTCTGTGCATTATATAACCTTCCGCGCTGGATGTTCACATCCGTCCGCTAGAGGGTGCTGCAGACCCTGGGTGTAGAGCCACCATCGCAGGCTCCTGACCCGCGTTCACCCGTACTGTACAGGCATGGGGGAGGACCGAGCATAGAGAACTCGTAAACGCTGTGGAGTTCCCTGTGCACACCGTGGCCATGACTTTGACAGTACCGGCTAGCGGACGTTGCTCTCCCGTCTCCAGGCACCTGAAAGCGGACCGGTAGAGGAGGCTAACACCGGAGGGAGAGGCATTAGCGGACGCCGGCTCGAGTCGGTAAAGCAGCTTTTATTTGATTTTTTAACGTGTTTGTTGAGCTTGTTTCTTCACGAGATAACTGCCGCTCCTCGTTCAGCGGGTTTACGTGGACGCTACCGGGAGGCGCTTTTATTTGAGCGGTGGAGTGCTGCTGAGTGAGACAGTTTGACACTTTCAGCGAAAACAGGCTGAAAGCTTCTCCTCGGGGACGCCGGTGCAAGGTGAGCGCTGTCCTCCCGTCAACCCCGGCGCTGCGCCGGCCTGCTGTACTCCAGCTCCAGGGCAACGCCGTCGTCGTCTGGCCGGTGCACTGCAGCTCTGTGACGTCCTCAGGTTCACCTACACCGGCTTCCTCTTACCGCCACCGCACTGTGTGACACGGGTTACTCTACATTCTGCAGTCAGAGGTGAACGAGGAAAGATGTGACAACTATGTTGTGTCTGTGCGTGTCTGTAGTGTAATCTCCACCGTCACTGCTCGCTCCTTTGCTGTGACATGTGCCCATAGGTCGGTCTGTCCGTGGGCGCTTGCGTGCCAAAGTTTGCCTGAAAAGCTGCT